ATAGGATATGTACGTACGTAATGTAACTGATCACCAGATGGGTCCATCCAGCTTCCTTTTAGAATGAGACTAGGTGTGTGGCATCGCTTTCATCTATCTACACTATCTTGAGCAGACGGAATTCACTGGGAATTTGCACAGGCACAGTGACAGCATATTGTGAACTAGAACCCTAAACCCTAAAACTCTAAAACCCTAGCGAAAGCGTGGATAGGAGAAAACAAGTCTGCATATCTAGTGATAGCAAACACCCAACACAAAGATTGCACGGTGCTCATAAGACCACACAACACACACAACCATCGACACACTCAACCATCAACACACCCAACACACACACAACCATCCAACACGCACACTGCCACACCTGCAGGCAGGTCATTTGATTAGTGACGATAATGCTCTTGGATTCGTCCATACCACCGCGTGTGTAAAAGACCTTGACTATGCCCAAGAAGTGCAGGTTCTGCCCCGTTTAGGGTTTGAGGGTTATAGAGTTATAGAATATAGGGTTTAGGATGGGTTAGTGTGGCATGACGGTCGAGATAATATAAATAAAGATATAGACGCGTAATGATAACCTGTTTACGATCTAAATGGCCATATCCGAAAACATGCACAAAATCTTCCCTCAGAAGCACTTCAAACCCTAAAACCCCATCAACCCCACACCACACCTTATCCGGATTCGAGAATCGCGCCCCACACTCGGCATTGAGCTGTGTGATGATACTCTCCAACTCACCACGTCTATGCTTCATCTCCTTCTCGTGCAGCTTACGCTCTCTGATGCGCTGTATGCGTAGGGTTTCCTCGTTCTGTTTCTGTAACATTACATCCGTTTTCATATCGTCCGCTGGCTTGTGGCTGTTAGTTTGGTCCGTTCCGGTGTTGGGAGCGTGTACCTCCGCTGTTTCGAATAAGGTTTTAGGGTTTTAGGGTTTAGGATGGTGGTTAGTCGAGTGACAAAGGCTTTGTATCAAGCAATACATATACATATACTCTGTATGTGCATAAGCCATGTCCAAAGGTCACACAATTGGGTCTTAGTGCTGCGTATGATACGAATATCACATAAATTATTGAACGAAAATTTGCAAAATCGTACAGTCATATACCTCACACGACCCCCCAAGGACTAGCAGTTGCACAAAACAGTATAACTTACATTTATACAGTATTATAATATATAATCATTCAATATTGCTATATACACGTGTACATTTATGTCTATACAAAAGGGTGTACATACAAATGTATGTATGAATATGTATATACATATACACTTCTACGTATACGGATGTGTATATATAGTTTAATGTGCATACTTCCACACGCGAAAAGGTAC